GTACAGTAAAATAGATCAGCTTACAGAGATAAAAAAGGATGGATTCGAGATTATATTCCTTTGATGCAATAAAAATTATACTTCATACCACAAATGCAAGTGACAAATTGTTGCAGAGACCAGAGAACCCATAAAATAACATGGGGAGAGAAATCTATTCAACACGAACACTTCGTCACACAGAATAAAAGACCATTGTAGACAAGATTCCTGTAGGGAGTCCACCTGTGGAAGATTGATGTTACTCATAATCGAAGATCACATCCTGTCTCTTTCATGCAAGGTCGAATTCTGCGAAGCTTATGCGGTCCTGCATCGAATAACAATTGTACAATGTACTTCGAACAATCGCCCATTTCACGAATACAGTATACCGAAATTTCTGGAGATGCTGCAGCAGCGCTGGTTACAGACTTTGGCTGATTTGTAAGTTCAGCGAATCGTATACTGTACTTGGAATTTCGAGGTTTTGTTGGACGAGTCAACAAATGAACGTTATTATTTACAAGAAAAAGTCTTAAACTCTTTTCGTTTGCCCGGTTCGATATGTAAGGAAGAGAGTTAGGTACGGGAACATCAATATGACGCGCGATGATTTCTCCATGTTTTACAAATCATCAGACAGTCTTAATGGTATCATTTCATAAATTGAAAGGAACCTTCGGGCACGTTCTTAAGATTCAAAAACTATACTGTACAAGGAAAGGGTATATATATATATATACTGGCTCCATGATAAAATCCCGCGGCCCGAAAATCCTGTGAGGCCTATAATCCGGTAGGCCGAAAAATCTCGCAGGGTCAGAAAATCCCTTAGGCACGAAAATCCGGTATACAACAAAATTGTGATATTATTGTTAAGTTTTCTTTCCAACTGCCTGGGAGGAATGCTAATATGGTGGATTATGACATGGGGAAAGTGCAAGGGGTTTCTTTCAAAAGATTTCCTTAGGATTTAGGATACCTTTGTCAATAGAGCCTCAACTTCACTTCCTGAGGAAACCTGAGAAAAATGTAACCTTCAGCATTTGGATCAAGACTTTGTCCCTGCATTTGTTTTGTATGTAAACTGTTCACTTTTCCAATTATTTTCAGTTCTAATTTGCCCTCAAAACATAAATTTTCACATCAAAAAAGCCTCCTTTGATATCTACATATGTGGTGATGGTCTGTAAATAATCTTTAAATCATCAAAAAAGTCTAAATGCACTTATATAAGTATATTTCATCTCGTCAAATTTCAATTTCAATGTACAGCACATGTTAGAGCATAATTTTTTTTAATTCAATGAGATCGTTGAGATTCAAAGAGATTTAACAAGATTCCCACCCAAAGGCAACAGAAGAGTAAACGCAGTTGGATGGAAAACTCAGAGATAATATCATAATTTTGTAATATACAGGATTTTTGGACCCTGCCTCACGGGATTTTCGGGCCGCGGGATTTTCTCCTGCACCCACATATACTGTACTGACGATCTCGGCAACTTCTCTGTTGGTATTGCATTGTTAATGCGGAAAGTTACGGTTGCCCAGAAATGTCGACCATCGATAGCGATGGTTGTACTGTGCAAAACTTTCCGAACACAAGAATCGTAAGCAAATGTATATATTAAGTTACCGTCTTGAGTTTTGGGGTAATTCAAAAACGCATTCACACCGGGTCTGAAATAAGATCAAAAACACAAGGAACTTATTCATTTCGAGGCTAAATGCGGATAACAGACACATATAAATGAATAACTCACGAATTTTGAAGAAAAATCCTTGGATGATGTCCCCATGTCTCAGAATACACATGAATTTTTTATCAAGTCGCAAAACGTTATTGTTGACGAGTAGATACAGCCCGAAGCGTTGCTTCACAGTTCCAACCACAGTTAGTATGAAGTCCTCGCTTGGGCACTGATAGATGGAGAAAATCAACTCCAATCTGGACTGCTTGGAACAAACCGGACCAAGTTTCACCCCATTTTTCTCTTTGTGAACATCTGAGAAGAATTGTTGTTATGGAGTCAGAAAATATACGAAGTACTGATGCACTACATAAGAAACACAACTTACGTAGTCGAAACTGCATCCCCTCTGCAACACACTTGTTTTCAAACTTTTCAAAATAACACGAAACCTTCAGCATTTGACTCGGATTTGCACCGCATCTTCTTGAGCCACCGCCTTTCGCCCCACGTCCGTTCAACTCCATGTATGAAAGGTCTTGGAGACCGTAGTTCAATTTCAGGAGAAACGCACGCATTGCGGAAAAACGAGCTAAAAAATTCCAGGCAAACTATTGATGAAAGTTTTTTCAAATTACGACACTGTCTCGATTCCTGAAATCAAAAGCAAAATTAATGGAGAAACAATCACGGAATCTCGCTGGTAAAAATCTGCTGAAGAAAATGGAGAAGGAAATCCTACCAAATGTCTCTTTCTCTTTACATTTTGGAGGGTTTTCTTGAATTAATCACGACGGAAGTTATGCCCACAATCCAAATTTTGAACTCTCAATTTAAATAGTGAGAAACAACGAGTCAAGGAAATACTGCTGCGAGCAAAAAGTTTTGCATGTCTTACGAATTCCCAGGGTATTTTTGTTATGGTCACTGTATTTCATAAAATTGAATAGAAATGGAGAACCGAGCACATCCCGAAGTACGCAACCTCTTCCAACTGTTCCCCGC